GTTCCTAATTTCAGTGAAGCACAATGGAGATTTGACGCTTGACTCCATCATCAAGATTGCTCGAATCATGAGGCCTCGTTCCATGGCTCGGAAGCTGGAAGGAACTGTCAAGGAGATCTTAGGTTTGCATAAGTTTATTAAATGAATATACATTGAGTGAGAGTTACTTGTTCAGGAACTGCCCAATCAGTTGGTTGCACCATCGATGGTCAGCACCCTCACGATATAATAGAGCAGATTGCGAGCGGTGAAATTGAGATACCCGCCGAGTGAATTGTTGATTTGTTGTTGATAAATTGTTATTTGGTATCTTGGTCTGTTTAAAGTTATCCGAAAATTTGTATCGGAGACTGTGCATAGCTAGCGCCGTTTTTCGCGTAAAAATTATTGTAGAAGTGTTTGTAAATCGATAGAGACTGAGTGAAGATGCACTCAAAAGGAGACAGAGTCAGCGGAAAGCACGAAGGTACTCGGGTTCGTGTACATGAGAAAAGGTGTTGGCGACCTGCTCGAGGTGTCTGTGGTTTGATGTGCTGCTCAACGAGTGTTTTTTTTTGGCATGTAGCCCAGAAGGAAATCATCGGCAGTATGAGTCAATGTTCCGTCAGTCCCATTTTCATGACAGCTTGAGGGGCCTGAGGGATGTACGGATTTTCTTCTCGGAGCGGAAGGACTGCGGAGCGCATTCGTACAACGCGCTGAATGCTCTTGTGGAAGGTGCCTATGTAATTTTGATGCAATGATTTAGTGTGGTAGGTAAAGAGTTTAGGTTCCGTCAAAAATGGCGCGGGTTGAGGGGCGCCCACGAGCAAAATATTTGCAAAAGAATATCTTTGTGTTTTGCATGACCACTTAGATCGATCAGTCTCGAACACGTTCATACAGAAGGCAGGTAATCCTGTAGAATTCAGTCGTGTTGGCTGGGGAAGTTGAAGTGAACTGTGGAGGTGTCATCAACTGGGAAGTGACCCCTTTGTTCCTTGAACTTGTAGGGCCATTATGCATGAAAAACACCCAGTAAATGCTTGAGGTTACGTCACGAAATTCTTCGTTGCTTAAATTGGAAGAAGCATTAATCAACATGTGTAAGCGGTTTGCTGAACTGCTGTTTCTATCACATAAGTGCAGTGTCGTTGTGAGGTGCAAATTGCACGGTTAAGCGTCACGAATCCCTCAATCCTGTTTTGATGGGTAGGGCGACTAAACTCATGTTTATGAAGGCTTTATCGTTCGAAATTGTCAGATCGGGCATGATCTGTTTGGAATTTGTCACCTGCGTTCATACGCACTTTGAGGCAAAGAGGGAAGCGTGCATGGCGGCTTGCCGAGAAAAGAGTCAAAGTGATTCCAGGTTCTCCGCTGTGTCATTTTGAGCCCTTCTACTTTATAAACGCTTCAGCTTCTACGGTTTACAATACAAAACTGTTGGAATTAAGTCATGACTGCAGCACAGCAATCGGTCGAAATTAGAAAAATTTTCGGTAAACACTTGGACAACTTTCAGCTTGTGGCCGGGTGGTCAATCTTGTCTTGTTAAAAAGTCCAAAACAATGCCGAAGGTGGGTCCTGTCTATGGCTCGGAAAAAAAAAAAAAAAAAAAAAAAAAAAAAAAAAAAAAAAAAAAAAAAAAAAAAAAAAAAAAAAAAAAAAAAAAAAAAAAAAAAAAAAAAATTGATTGGGTTTTCACACCAATTGTCAGTTTCTAGGCACAAAAACCCCATAGATAAGAGCTAGTTTTCTTGTTTCGTCTAACGCGGAAGTTGTTGTGATCGTCCTGTCTCTATCTTTGTGATCCGAAATGCTTCCTGCATCTTGAAGTTTTCTGAAAGAAGAGCCTTCGAATCACGCTCAGTCTGATTTGATATATGAAGCTCAGGGAACCAACAATATTACTACACTGTTGAAGCCTTCAACCCTTGTCCATACTGAATTTGACACGCTGATAAACCGGGAGCAGCGTGATATGATGCTTTTAATCTTCCTTGGAACTGCTTAATATTTGTGTCACTACGAGAACAACTCAAAAAGTATGACGTGACAAACAAGAAGAAAAGACAATGGATATGCAGAGCCTCAGAAAGAAATGAGTACGACCGTGCGTACCAGTACTATTAACTTTGGCGCACTCTATGAGTGTAAGAAGATTCAGTTCTTCGCAATGAGAAACATTCGGGACACTGCATCGAATTTGCTTCTAGCATTCCTTTTCTAATGAATTGAGTAAGTTTTCAGTCGAAGCCAGTTTAAGAAACTGTAAATGTGGAACCAGTTGGTGGCTGTATTCTTCCGGTATTAACCGAGCCAACAACTTAGCGACATCACATGAGCTAAACAGTATGCGTTTGCAACAAACTCGTTGCGTTCTAGTTCTACTTCATTCTATTATTTGGAATGAAAGGTTTCTTTCAATCCCTTTGCGAAGCACATCACTTATCTTCCTTAGTGGAGCAGCCGTTTTAGGACAAGCAGAGTGTTACAGTGTTTGCTTTTGAGCACGTGATCCGTTGTCGTAGTGACGTCTTGAAACAAGAAGCTAAATGGTATTGTTCCAGTGTATCGTGTTCGAATGAAGGTCTCATAAAAATGTCCACAATGAAGTCGAAAGTCCATAGTGAGATGGAGATTTTAGAGGTTTGTTCCAAGTTAGGTATAGTGCGTACATCCCTGAGAAAGATCACAACAATTTTTAGAAGACAGACATGTTGATAACACGATACTTCCAAGAAGCACGCCATGTAGAGGACATTATCGGAATAAAAGAAGATGGCGAAGAGAGGGATATATGGTGCGGAGATTTCCTTCATAATTCGTGTGAACATACGAACTTTTCGTAATTTTACTGAATGTTTTTAGGAGACGATATAGCAAGGAGCGTATGAAGACCGTATCCGTAGCCCTTGTTCTTTGCCTTCACATAGGTTGGTGATGCTCACAGATTAGGTCATTTTTCCATTTTCGCCTTCCCTTTTAGGTGAAGTCTGTTTTTAAAAATCGGATTGGAACTATTTCTGATGTAGGAGTAGATCCACCGGATTCCGTGCCGAAGACTTCGGCGCGTGCACGCCTGGAAGCTTGGGTGGACCCGTACAGTTGCAATCCACAAAAGGCAGCTTATAAGATAGCCACTTCACTACAGAAAAGCTACGAGAAATGGCAACCACGTGCAAGGTAATCATCGTCATGCTCCTTTTCTCTTTTCTATCTCAAATTCAACTTTTTGCTGCTATTTTCTATGATTTCAAAACCGTTATTAGTGTTTATTGTTATTCAACATGCTTCATTAAGGTATAAATCTGTGACTGATCCGACGGGTGAAGATGTACGCAAGTTGTGCGCCAGCATGAGGCGGAATGCCAAAGACGAACGTGTATTGTTCCATTACAATGGACACGGAGTACCTCGGCCCACGCAGAATGGTGAAATTTGGGTTTTCAACAAGAATTTCACTCAGGTTCTCCTTTTTTCTTTTTTCATTTTGATTCAAATGTGCCTTGTTTTCCTATTTTCTTCCTCTCTTACGTTACGTTAACATGAGGGTAAACCCTTAGTCCGTTTTACTCCATTGACGTACATTCCTACTTGTCTTCATTCAGTACATCCCGCTGTCACTTTATGACTTGCAAATTTGTATGGAATTTCCATCCATCTATGTTTGGGATTGCTCCTCTGCTGAGACAATAGTTAACTGGTTTATGCGATTTGCAAAGGATCATGAGGAGTGAGTTGTCCGCTTATTGGTTTCATGAAAACCTCGCTGAAAAGCGTATTTAAAAGAGGATAAGCTCAATGTCGTTTGTACAATCTCTTTGCCTTCCTTTGTAGTGATTGGCACAAGAACTTGCTAGCTCATCAGGAAACAGTCGCTCCTACGTCAATATCAGGGGCTAAAATCAGCTCTCATATGACGGCTGATCAACAAGCTGAATCACTGAAATTCAAACGACGCCCGAGGTTCCGAGTAAGTTTGGAATATATTCTCATTGAATTGCCTTATGCTCTCTATATTGGATGAGGGATCTCGACTGTGGCACGTATTCCACATGTTTACAGGACTGCATTCAACTTGCAGCATGTCGTGAGGATGAGCGTTTGCCCACAAATCCTGATCTTCCTGCGGATTTATTCACTTCTTGTTTGACCACTCCAATACATACGAGCATTCTTTGGTACTTTTCATTTTCGTGTTGATTTATAGTTTTAATGGATACTGGACTGCTTTTTGGCTAATACTTGTCTTTTTGAGGTATTTGATAAAGAGTGGCAGAAAAAGCCAATTCCCTCCCAATTTACTCGAAGAAATACCTGGCCAGTTGAATGATCGGCGAACTATATTGGGAGAACTTAACTGGATATTCACGGCTATAACGGATACAATAGCATGGAATGCGTTGCCAAGGGATGACTTTCAACGGCTGTTTAGACAGGTTGTTGCCGCAGTTTGAATTTGACCTTTTTACTGCCTAGATATTGATATGTGTCTCAACTATCAACGTATTGCGCTCGATGAAGAGCAACTATTCAAATTTCCTCACTTCTTAATCTCAGTCTTTCTGGCTAGCAGCATCTGTACTGGCCAAACAGTGGCAGATGTATTTCGTACCTATTACAAATCAACAAAACTACTTGTTTAGGATCTCTTGTTAGCTTCGCTGTTTCGAAGTTTCCTTCTGGCCGAACGTGTAATGGGTGGGAACGGGTGTAGTAAGTTTATTTATGTTTCTCCCTTTTTCTTTTTTGTCTCCTTACCCAGTCACTGTTAAGACGTCGTTTCCTCACCTTCGCTACCAAGTACAGCTGATCACCCATTATGGGATTCATGGGAATATACTCTCGATCTGACATTGAATCATATCCATAATCTCCTCACTCCAAAGTTACATTTTCAAGTGATTGGAAGAGACGTGTTATCCAAAAGTTCCATTTGCACGTTAAACAGTGAGTACTTCTTTCAACAATCCATTTTTCGAAAATTATTCGTCGTTTTCATTTGATAGTTTGAGTCATTCAGCTTTAATCGATTTGTCTGGTATAATTGGAGATGGTCAGGAAGTCCAACACAACTGGTTTTTTATAGAGCAGTTGAAGGCGTTCGAGGTGCTTTTGCTTACTGTTGTTTGATTTGCTTGGGTTTACTTCTTGTCTTCGTAATGCAACAACCCCAGTTCAAATTGGAAGGAGGGTTGGGGGGGGGGCAACAGCGATTGAACACACTGGCGTGGAAAGGACGTGTCTAGAGTAATTTTTGAACGCAACCGCATCAGTGCGATGAATCTAGCATACCTATCGCCCTACCTACCTATCGGCTACCTTATCCGCTACCTCGTAATCCACGTAGCGTGAGGTTACTCGTGGGTAACTTGATTCCATGCACAGTATCGATTCTTTGACACAACCTTAGGGGCGTTGTTACTTTAAGAATATGAACCAGTTTTGCTCCGCCCGCTATCGCGCGCATCACACGGCAGGCTTTAGTGAAACTGAAAGACCCATGGAATATCAGCATGAGGCCCTCCATTAGCCACCTCACTATTGAATGTGTTAGACTTTTCCCAGTTTCGCTGAAGTCCATCGAGAATACGCGTGATAACGTCTGGAGCTGAACTGGCATAATTATCTCACAACTGTAAACATCCAGCATTCTTCTTGAATTCGATAAATTTAGCGGTGAATAGGATTGCTGTCAGTCTCAAAATTAAAACGAACTATGCCTATTTACATAAGTGAAGAGCTAAGGCTTATCATTCATTTACATTCACCATTATTTAGAACAACCCCGAAAGGATTAGCGGCTTAATGAGTTTGGGCTTTCTCGATAGAAATGAAAGTTTATCATTCGCTGAAGACTGATTGAGTTCATGCAATAGACTGCTATTAAGTAGGCTGGTCATACAATGATACAGTGTGCACGTACCACTACAAATAGAATTTGTAAGTAGGGACGCTCTAGTGTCAGCGCAAGCCAGGTAACGGAATCGACGACTTTTGCGTTCTGACGCGCCTTATCAGCCCTTATCAGTTGTAACCACTTTCAATCACCCACCAACAATGTCCCCGTCCCACCCCACATAACACCTGTGAGCATGGTTGCTCTGGTGTCAATGCGAGCCAGGTAACGGAATCGACGACTTTTGCGTTCTGACGCCCCTTATCAGCCCTTATCACGTTACTATCAAACTTCTGGCTATCACGAGAGATATCATATCCATGATACAATATATAATTCGGCCTTAACAATAACACTTGTAGTATAAACGACTCTTACCAATATGAACGGCAAAACGAAATTGGCGATGCTCGCTTTCTAGCCCCTCTTATCAGCTATTATCAGTCGTTATCAGTTCCTATCACGTACCACTTGTGTCCCCATCCCACCCCCTATAACATATGTAAGAACCACTGCGCTATCGTTACTGTGACTCGAGCTATGAATGTTCGTGACAAACCAAAACACAACAGACCGTGGGACACACAACCAACGCACCCACACACACACATCACCATACTTCTTAGCGTTGTTACTTTAAGAATATGAATACTTGTTACGTTTTCTTTCACATTTTTACTCTGATGCCAGTTATTTTTAGGTATGGCTAGAGTACGGGGTAAACAAGCAGTCTTCACCGGAGCAACTCCCAATTGTTTTGCAAGTTTTGCTAAGTCAAGTGAGTTGCTAGTTTTTCGTAGTGAAGGTACTGTTTGTGGATACTACAATCAAAATTCTTAGGCTCATCGACAGCGAGCGCTTGAACTTCTTGCTCGATTTTTGGATCTCGGACAGTGGGCTGTTGGTTACTCCCTCTCCGTCGGAATTTTTCCCTATATGCTCAAATTACTCCAAAGTACATCGAGAGAACTTCGGATTTGGCTTGCTTTCATCTGGGCAAAGGTTGGTTACGTTTTCTCGAAACTATGCTTCCTTAAGGTTTTTTTGAAAAGACTTATATGAGGTATTACAAAGCCGCAAGCTGTGGAATACTTTGTTTTTCTTCTTTTTTGGCTCATTTTCGAAGGAATAGTCGGCGTGAAGAGAAGGACAGTCATCAATCAGGGGTTACTTCAATCCTCGATTTTGCGTCCTTCTCAACTCATTATACCCTCCAGTGTCTTTTACTGTACCCATGAACACGAGCATTCTACCAGCATATCTATCACGCTGTGGAAAGCCATATTCGGAGCTACCCAGCAAACGCGAATGCAACCGAAATCTAAAGTTCCGAACTCTGTCAACGTCCGAATATAAGGGATAGTGATAGCTTGCCAAGTAGTCGAACGGGTGGGCCGGACATATCGTGTGATTTTGTATGACCGCTTATGAGAGCTTTCACATACTGGATCAGAACCTCAAACAAAACCGGGATTATCTCCGGCTCGAAGCTTTGCTTCGAAAGGAAACGAAAGGAATTCACCCACTACGTGTCTTTTGAGCGAGAAGAAGCAACCTTTGACACGAATGCTGTTGTGTTTTGTGCTACTCTGGGAATGCGATGAGCAACGGAGTGACAAGCGGTGCAGTGACAGGGACACAGGCGTAGGAATTTTCTTTTGGAAGCATTACTCAAATATGAACACTTAATCCATATTTCATAACCGTCCGATGCTAGAGGTCCCATTGTTTGTTTTAGGGTTTAGAGTCACATTTCTCGAGGTGTATTTTAATTTAAAAATTGAATACTTTTAATTCCAGATCCTTGCTGTTGACCCTAGTGTACAGTCCGAGTTATTTAAAGAGAATGGCGATGAACCAGCCCGATTTGAATCCACAAATCGTGCAAAGCCAGTCCAACTTCGGTATGCTTGCTTCAATTCAGAGTCTCACTACTATTTTTATCAGGCATTTGAATGTTTGTCTTCTCGTTGCGACTCCGATCTTGTTGCAGCATATTTTCTCACCAATCATTATCAGCTCTGAGCGAATATAAGCCAATTTTGCAACTTCACGCCACTTATCTGTTGTGAAGTGTTCTAAGAGGATCTCTTAACAATAATGGTTGAAGTTTGGTGCTGATAAGCGCTAAAAGTCAAAGTGTAATTTCAAAACCATGCCAACAAAACCTAATTTAATAATGCCTGTCCCAAAAAAAGTGGAAATTGGCGTCTTCTTTTGCCATAAATTACTCTGGTTGTAAATTAAGGGATGCGGCTGTGTAAAACCATAACTTAGAGCAATCTGTAATCGAAATTAGCTTTGAATGGAAGCATCATTTAGGTACCATTTTTTCGTCACAATCCTCAACGATCCCGATACACTGCCTCGACAAAAGATTGTTGTCGCTTTCGTTTTGGCGACGCTATTCCATAATAACTACAGGTCAGTCGCCAATCCTTTCAGTTTTGTTTTTGCGTACTCAGCTCGTGCTACTGCAGTTCCTCATACAGAATCGCACAAGAAAATCTCACAAAGAAAGGATATGTCAATCTCTGCACTGAGTTGTTGAGCGAGAATCAGGCAAAGGACTGCCGGCTGTTAAAATTATGGATATTGATTGGACTAGGTCGCCTATGGGCAGATTATGATCCTGCTCGCTGGCAAGCTGTGCGTCTTGTTGCCTACGCTAAGGTGAGTGCTGACTGCTTTCATGGATAGTGGGCTATGAGCAAATCTCTTCGCTCCTAGGCGGGAGTAGAAACAATCAGAAACAGTGACCTCACTATGGGTTGTATTTACTCATTGACCTATCACACAGGGAAATAAGGCACAAACATGAATTGTGTCAAAATGGATAAGGCTTGACGATAAAACGTTAACGCTCTCAAACGAGTCTGTCATCATTAGATTGACCCCGAAAGGATGGGTGGCGTGCCTGGAATTTTGATCGGTGATATAGCTTATCGTGTGTTGGAGAAATTTTCATCTTTCCACCTATTTTTCCCTTTACAAGGAATCCTTTTGTGCAAATTATGAACCACGTACTGCACCAAATAGCTTCGTAGAGATAAAATATTCTAGGTTTTGAAAGAGCTTGATGACAACGCTCCAGAAGTTCGTGCTGCTGCAGTGTATGCTTTGGGATGTCTTGTGAAGAATCGTTCGGAAACAAACGAACACGCGGCAACGGTAAATATTTCTACTGTTTAAGCCACAATTTAGTACCAACCAACTTTTTTGTTTAGATTGATCAAGAGATATGCGATGACTTATGTAACAAGTGCACAAAAGATGGATCTGTACTCGTCCGTGAGGAGTTGCTGATTGCCCTTCAGGTAAATAAGTTGTGACACTTTTATAGTTCAGTTCTCGCTTTCTTACACATGAACTTCCCTCTAAGAGTTCGAATAGTTGTCACTTTTAGTGGTACATCATCGACTTCGAGCAGCGATTTGCGAAAATTTTTTGGGATCTGTCAGAGACCTTGGGTATTGAAATGATCGCTGATATGCAAGAAGACAACTTCGAACACAATGCAAACGACATTGCCTCCACGATTAGGAACAACGATTCAAATGGACCTTTATCTATGTACACGTTCGGATAGATATTTTACTCGTTATTTTTCACCTTAGATTGAAGCTACAGTAGAATACGTTGTATTTTTTGTAATGGTAGTTTTTAGGGGACCAGGGCGAAAATCATCCGTATACAGACGACGTCAGAGACCGAGCGAGGTCATGGCAGTTGAGGAAGTATGTTAAGTGATTTTATTATAAGTTCCACTGTTATTACTCTAATTTCCGGAAGATAACCCCGCGCCGATATCACGTAAAAACACCCCCGCTCGTGCAGTGTAATTTTGTACACCTTAGAAACTACCGTAAATTTGCCTATAGAGGTAATTCGATGCCCTGATTACGAAAATGACTTTCATTTTTAGCGGTGGCGCCATCTGGCGCCAGTTGGCGTCACCTTGTCACGACACCTGTTTTCACCAAATTTGGTGTAAACTTCCGTATAGGGGTTATTTGGTGTCCTGATTACGAATATGACATTCATTCTCGGCGCTGGCGCTATTTGGCGCCTATTTTCTGCTCGTCTGCGCTCTCCAACCGAGAAACATGCGTTTAGCAACGTTAATGCCAAAAACGAATGTCATGTCAAGCGGCTAAAAATGAATGTCGTTTTCGCAATCAGCATATCGAACTACCCCTAGGCAAGTTACGGTTGTCTCTAGATGTACGCAAGTGCACTGCACCAGCGGAGGTGTTTTTACGTGATATCGTCGCGAGGCTTATCTACCGGAAATTAGGGTAATTTATTTTGCGAAATGACGTCTTCTAGGTCAACAGAACGGTCCTCTCCTTTTTCTCGATAATATTCATTCACTTATACAAATTGTTGTTTTTTTTTCCGAATGTGGTGGAAGACCTTTTCATTTGAGCTATTGCCACACCTTTTCGCTGTCTAGGTTGTGACTATGAATGAGCCGACAGACCGGAACTCTCTATCCTCTTCTATTAGCCAAGTGATGTCCTTAGTGTCCTCTTATACTGGTCCATCTAAAGGCGATATTGCGTTCAGGTGAAGAATATTTGGCTTTTTTTCTGAGTTAATATGTTCTATTGTGTTTTTTCCACATATGTCTTTCTGTCGTATTTGATGAACTGTTATAGGGAACGTGCAAAGAAACAACTGGCTTACCTGGAGAATAAGAACTTCAAGGAGCCCTTGGAACGCACCTGGGTAGCGTTGCTGCGCTTGTCCTTGGATCCTGTACAAAAGGTAGCATTATATTCAGTTTACAGTTGTATTTCTGAATATTAGTCACATTTTTATAAAAGTCCCCTACCATTAGCAGTAGTAGACCAGTGAGTCACCAACAGCTCTTTTGGAAAGTGTTTCCAGAAGTCTGGAATTTCTTTTAGTGGGAGAGTGGAGCCAGAACTTTGTCTGGTTCTTGCAATTCATTGTATAAGCTTGGCTTTTTCTGGCTGAACGGCATTTCTGCTACATGGCGTACTCATAAGTACCCACATTTTTAAGTTACTCTACATGAAGACTTAATTCCCCGCTTGAAGAGGTGCGCTGATCATCAAGAGCAGTAATTGTGCCATTTTGTGACAAGAAGTGTATAGCGAAACTAGTAGAGCTCAGTGTTGTCCCAATGATCCTCCAGCTTCGTCTTAGATTGGATTTCATGGGTAGTGTCTGGTCTCGCTCGTGTACATGCTCTTTCTTCTCTACTTCTGCTCTGTCCTCCCGGTGTTCGTTGTTTCTTTGAAAAAAGCTCACAGGCGAAAGAGGGTCTTCTTGTTTTTTGGCCTCCTCCTTTCTTGGAGGAACCGTTCGTACCTTTAGTTTCGCCATGGATCTACAGTATTCACATTCTGCAATCATGGAACGCTCCTTCAGCTCTGCATCTATTTAGCAGCGGAACACAATTGTAAAAATAGAGAGAAAATCTAGAGAAGCGTGATTTTCAAAGCACTTTGTGAAGGAAGAAATTTACTGGGAAAAAAAATCAGTTCTCAGGTTCTCATAATGTTTGAACGTACACTTGGACGGGGATCCCAGTGGTTCTTTCTTTCCAGCTCTGAGTTTAATCAATTGAGCCGCTCGTTTTTCTTTGTTATTATTTGTATTAGTATCAGTTTTATTGCTGTCAGTTTCCTTCCTCATAGGTTGCTCTGATGGCTCATAAGCTGGTTCGCCACGTGGAAGTATTGGCATTGGGTCTCCAGAGCAGCGCGACAGCCCTCACTGAGAAGATTGACAAGGTGTCAAGCTTCGCTTCGGTAAGTTTCTTTTGACAGTAGGATTCCAGAACTCCTCTTGCAAACTCGGGCATATTTTTCTGTAGATTCCACAAGGTGGAAACTGCTATTCCGCATTCTGATATTCCGTTTGATGAAATACCGGAAGTGGACGGTTCTGCTAAGTTAGGAGGAAGCAGTGAGAATGAAGGAGGTAGGCCTTTTCAAATGTAACATGGCACCTTTGATGTTACGTAAAACATTGCGATGGACGACACATTTCTGTGGAGAAGACTTTTTTCGTTTAATGCGGATGGCTCTCCTTTACTTTTTCCTCATTTTTTCTCACCAGTGCCCATTTTTCTACATCGAAAGGCGATCTCAGATCGAAAACCTCGACTTTTTGTGTGTCGAATCCCCATCCAGACGCACATAAATAAACGAGTACTAAGGAAAAATAAGCAAGATATCAAGGATGATTAGGTTTCCTTCAAGGTATCTATTATCTGAATAGGAAACAGTATTCACATTTTCTTCGATTTTTCAGTCACTTTTTTCAGGAGGAGTGCGGTTTATGATTGGCAGCCCTGTGACAGCAGGCTCAGCGTTATTGCCACCTGAGGGGAACGTAAATGCTAATAGCTTGTCTTCCAATCCTGACGTTGATTGTGCATCTCCCACTGGAATGTTCGACCACCAGGGTCCGTCTAGCAAACCGTCAGCGGCTACCTTGCAACGTCCGACACGACAGCCTAATCAACGCAAGTTATCTATGCCATCACGCTTTCCACCACCCGGTAGAGGTGTGTGTAGCTCAGTCGCTTCCTTTATTTTGTCATTTTTTATTTGTTCTATTTATTATTGTTTGTGTAGGATCAGAATCAAAATCACAGTTGGCTGAGATGTTGAAGCAGACTTTTACACCAAAGAGAGGAACAGTGAGTATTTCCTTATCTGCTTATTCAAATTTGTACGAGATGCTCTTCCCCTTCAGACTGCTCGTGGTGAGTTCTCGTCGGGCACTCCAGTGGCGACTACTGCTGAGCCGCTACTCACCTCAGAGTTCGTTCCATGGTGTAGCCGTATATTCGTCCAGCCAATCCTAGATTTGATTCACGTGAGTGGGCGGAGCTCTTTCGATATTCTCTTCTATATTGTTTATTTTTTCAGTGTAAAGAGGATGTGGAGGATTTCACGGATCGCGCGCTTACACTGGTGAATCCTACGGATTGGGCTATTTTTATTGAACAAGCGCAACAGCAGCACGCTCATGCAGAATTCGAAGTGTTCAAAGTTAGTAATCTCATTATTTGGTAGCAATCAGTGAAAGTTATCTTGCACGTAATGGCGTGTTTTAGTCTGTACCATGCGATTCGTTATTGGTAGCTGCTCGTGTTCCTTCATCTCCAACTGTTGTTTCACTGTCCATGTTGCGAAAGTCTATCTATACTACGGACGGTGAACAAATATATATTACACGTTATGAGAAGTCACACAACCACATTGCACAGAAATTCTCCTGCAATGCAGGAAATCCTTTTAATTCGGTAAATTCCATGTTTCATTTGTATATATCAGGAAGCTTGGTTAATATTGCTCTCACGTGTCAATATTCTCGTTGCAGGATAAGACAACTGCACTGATAGTTATTAACGAGATGTCACGTGAAATGTTGCTTTGCGGGTCTTCTACTGGTATTGTAAGGGTACGTTGGAGGCTCTTTTGCATCTTAGAGAACTCGGGTTCTAGCTCGCTAACATGTCGTTATTTTGAGGTATGGGATCTTTCATATAATATTCATTCTCACGAAATAGAAGATTTGCCACAACTGGTCACTGCCTCGAATCCTCTGTGTGATCAATCAAGGCTACCTCTATCAAATTATGCCGTTCATCCGACGTTATATGAGTGAGTCGCATCTTCAGTTTTAACAGTCTGACCAAATACACTGCGTGGAATGAATGGAATGAAGTGAAATAAATGAGCGTTCCGAACTCATTGCATTGGTATTATGCTGTAGTGGAACAGCAGTTTCAGCAAAATGTCGCCTCTGGTAAACATTCTGGTTTACTTTTACCCCGACTGAGCATACAATGCTAGTTCCTTTACTCCAGAAAGGTTAGGCCTCAATAGCCTCAATAGCCTCCACCAGCTGGTCAGTCTTAGAGACCGCAGTGAACTGGGGTCACATGCCATAAAGGCTTTTCGAATTGCTAGCAGGGGTCTTCCATAATAAATTCCGCGGTCTCAGGAAAGTGTCCACCAGAGTCAAGAACGGAGGTTGCGCAGCACTGTCAAGTTAATGCAATTACGATAGACCTGGGTGAGGTCGGCTGTAATGTTAGATAGCTGTAAATTTTGATACAGACATTGAGGACAGTGGACAATCATTTGCTTCCGCCATCCAATAGACCTTTCACTAACACTTTGCTACAGGTCATTAATCAAAAACCATGCGCTTCATCCTGCCTGACACAAACTTTGTCTGTCTTTTTTGCCGCCTCCCCATTTTCTTTCATTAGTAACATAATTGTTATCTTACAGTTGGAGCCAGGAAACTGGCCGCTTGGTATGTGGCGGAAACGTACGGGTAATTCGTGTGTGGGATGCTCACTATGAAAGGACTGCCCAAGATATTGCAATCGCTGTTAAAAAAGGAGCAGTGACTGCACTTTCTGGTGAACTCGACCATAACGACCTCATCGCTGCAGGTATGTTAATCTCTATAGCATTCCTTCTAGACTTTATGTCAAGAATGCAACCACTTTAAGGATACCGCGATGGAGTCGTCAATGTGCACGATATTCGTGTCCCAGCAAAGGAGTCCCTGATAATGTCGTTCCACGATTTGTCTTCCCGCGTTGTGGGTGTCGCGATTCGTGTCGATTCGAAAGGCAATGCAATTGTTGCGGCGGGTGATGAAGGTGGAGGTATCTGTGTTTGGGAACCCAGAATGTTCAAGGTATGCATGAGGTGTACAACGTATTTCAGAACTTTCACTTTTAATATTTTTTCTTTTGTTTCTCTAGAAATGTGAAACGTTTTATGTCTTCATCCCATTGAACTGCATGTCCATACCGTTCTACCTGGGGAATTCAATTGGGCATTCTTTTCTTATTCTTCGGCTCTTGCTCTCCCCCTGACACGTGATTTGGCTACAAATTTGCCCCTAGAGGTATTTCCATGTCTTACAAGGGAAGGATACCAAGTCGAAGTGGCCATCCGTAATGAAACCTATACTCAGAGATGTGTTTTCGGACGCTGATCTCGAATCCACTCTCCAAATTTGCGAAACGATTCTCTGAAAAGTGTTACGGAGGTTGTTTCGAATGAAAGCCCACTGTAAGAGACTCCGGCAGAGCACGGGCTCCAGCGGCGGCTTGGCCGAGTGGTAGTGTTGGCGGCTTCCAGTGGTAAGACCATGGATGGGATCTTGCTGGGCATGGATTTTTTGCTTTTTGTAATTAGGTCTAATTTAAATATAAAAAATTATTCAGTGTTGAAATTTTCACTGCGTCCAAAGCTAACGCATGTTTAGAGGGGTTTGTTTAACGCATTCCACTTTTTTCGTAATGTTTCGACCACTGTCGGGGTGTTTCTACGCCACGGAAGTGACGTATATCCGACGATGGGCTAAACAAATGGGAGATGCTTGCTCAACGGACCAAACTATCTTTGAAGGCTTAATTCAGCTATTAGCTGAAGTTGACAATTCTAAGTCGGCCTACAATGAGTCGAAGGTGTTATCCCTAGCCCCAGCCACTACCCTCCTGCTCCTCCTGGGCAGCGAGCGTGTACATGAAAAAATATCATATTAATCTTCGGATGGCACGAGCAAGTAGAGCAGGCGACTATATCTCTTTCACAATAATGACTGAAAGTTTAATTCAATCCCACGATCAGGCTCTGACAGTGGGTTGATGGATAGATGACTGCCCACATTTTCGACTTCAAGTCAAAATTTTAGATTTGGACCAAATGTTGTTGAAAGGGGTGTTTCGACGCGCTGAACACGAATATCGCATCTGCTTGGCACGAAATTGCCTTACGCGTGCGCTACGGGTGTCAGAGGCGGTCACTTGCAAATGACGCGCACAGTGCTCGAAGCTCTTCGCCAGCTCTGTTTACTTGTGCTATAGGCAATCGCTGATAACTTAGCATGGATAAGAGTCCTTAAACAACGTTCACAAGAAAAGCAAAAGTGGAACTCGCCAAGAACTCGAACTCACGACCTCTCGTTCGTTGAGCCGCACCGCTGCCACTGCACTATCTCGCTTCATAACTACGTTCAAAGAGTCGTTTCGCAGATTTGGAGAGCAGATTTGAGATAAGCGTCCAAAAACACATCTAGTGGTGTATGTCTCGTTACAAATGGCCACTTCGACCTGGTATCCTTCCCTTGTTAGAATACGTCGTCACACCTGTCTGCTACTAAAACCTCTATCAGGAGTTCTGTGGATTCCATGTTGCAGTCGTTAGAAGTGCCGCTCAGATGTTAGGAATCCTCGCAAAGGCGGGTCACTATACCCAAAGTGTCTACCTGAATAACCTAATTGGGAGCCTGGATGATTTTAGGGAGGCACAAGTGAGAACTCATCAGGGAATCGATTTCGCGCGACTCTCGCTCTTGCAGCCCGGACATTCGACCCTGCTATTATTCTTATCATAACTCGTTAAGAGAATGGATTGCAGACGTTGAAAGGCGGATTCGGTGTAGATCTGGCGTCCAAGCTGATTTGAGGGTAGGTCTCATTGACCTATAGCCATTTATAATATCCCTGGTAAGCCTTAACCTTCCCCGTAGCGTCTTTGCGAATATCAGAAAATCTGGTGAAATTTTGCTATCTCCAACTCCATGCAGATGTCTTTTTGGCATTTCTTTCTTGTCATAATCACTCGTAGATCTATGTTATTTGCCTTACCGATTTTTTTGAGTTTTCGATCACCTTCGTTACCCAGGCTTCCAGCTTGCGATAAATATCACTGAAACATATTTAGGTGCCAGTGGTTGAAATAGAGGCGGGCCGCGAAACACACGAGCCGCTAAGGAACTTCATTGTGCACAAGAATGCGGAGGTTTGCTCATCAGATCCTTCACTGAAACTTTGATCTCTGCGGACAAGTCCTCAGTTTGCGTTATTTCAGATGTTCGCTTGTGTGTTGAAAGCTGAGATCAAGTTATATGACATTTGCGGTGTACCTTTATGTAATATTCGTCAGAACGATTTCGAGCGAAGGCCAACTCAGAATATAGCTGCTGTTGCCATGCACAAACTTAGGTATGCTTCTCAAATATTGTACAAGCTCGATTCCATACTGCAAGCAAGTTCGTTCGCGCCCACTCTTAATTTGCTTCCAACTAATAATTACCTAATGATTTTCCATATTCAGGTGTATGATTGCTATCGCCACCGGTGATGGAGCTGTTAATGTATACGGGCAGGCAAAAACTAGTCTGTAGATGTTTATACTACTTTTCTTAATATTTTTGATCATAGGTACACAGTTCTTAGTCTATTCCTAGATCATTATTTTGATGTGAAATACTTGCCATATCACATTTGTTCCATGTCTCCTTCGCTGGTATCTTTCCGAAGCAGGTCCTCAAATACAAATATACTAAGATTATTGAATCTGTTTCCATGTAGAGAGGGAAGCTGAAGCAAACGATGTAGCGTTATGGTTGTTGCTGTTTTAGTAAGTCTAGAGGTGTTCATAATATATTAGGTGGCCACCAAGCTTACTTATTTAGCGATTGTAACGCTCATACGTTATCAATATGACTTGTCACTTGTGTGGAATTGGAGTGTACACGTTTCAGGTTTCTTGTCTAGCCCTCACTTATTCAGTTTATGTTCGGTTTCAGTTTTCTTTCCTCGCTTCAGAGCTTTTGGTGTACTTATGATGCGGTGTTTTCATTTCCCGTGGCCCTATAGTTCGATTAGCGATTAGTTACCACAGTTTCGTTGTATCAGCTCGCTCGCAATCACTCTCGCTTGTAAATTAGATGTTCATAGTAGGTTGATAGCTGAATAGTTTCTCTTTATGCTGTTATTTGCGCAGAAGTGCCTGTATCGAATGCCTTGTGCAAAATACATATATTTAGATTTTCACGTCTGATTCTTACAATCACTTTTTTGGTTTCTGCCAAGATTTCTTATGTCATTCAACGTGTTCACATACCATTATTGCTGTTCAACCCTATTCGAAAACATTTCACGAAAACCTGTAACCAGTTCCTGGGCAAGGACCTTAATGACTGTTTTGCATGGGACGACAATTTTATACGATTCGTGAACCGGTTATGCATATCCTTTCTCGTAAGGCCTGCATACCGACACGTTGCAGAGTTGAGAAATCTGTCACTAGGAATTCTTCAACAGTTTTCTATTACCTTGAAACCTTATAAAGAAGAGATAAAGAAGAGCGTTTTTTTTCGAAAAAGAGGCGAAAAAAACCATGCCGTTTTTTGCAATGAATAAATTACATTATATATTATGCTTACTATTACCTGCTTTTTCTTTTCGATTAGCAGACACTTTAAGAGAAACCTGCTCATCCCCTACCATTCAGTTCTCACTTAGTCGTCCTTCTGAATCCAGTCTCGCAATTAATGTTTTCTTTCGGAACAGCCATGCAGGTGCTATATTCCGCATTAATTCTGGTTACGTAATTTGACGACGGAAAAAGTAGATCAGCATTCTTTTCCAAGAAAGGAACTGCCATGCGCGGTAGTTATGGTGCGGTAATTATGATATTTTAGCTTTGCACTAACCATTATTCATAAGACAGCTTCCGACGCT